CGAACGATCACGAACCCCAAGAGCAAACCATCATGCTCGAGCATGCCGAGCAGCATATTCCAACAAGTACTTAGTCCGGAACAGATTGAAGTCTGAAACCCTCGAGCGTTTGGCTGGTCTATATGAATAATACAGCAAATATCCTCCAGCCGAACAAGCTTATGAGTGGGCCTCCACGGGATTCTCCAATACCCTGAGCGAACCACACTCCATCACGTTGGATTGTATCCGGATGTTGAGGGAGTTACGAGAGACAAAATCTACTGCTGAGAGGACTAGTGCTATTGATGAGGAAGTGGTTGCTAGTGATGTCAGTAACCGGCGCTCACTTCATGATCGCTTGAGAAAGCTCAGCCAGCGTCGCAGGCGAAGAGGCCTTGGGGGTGGGAAATCGGGCAAACGGTTGTACAATGTAGGAAGAGGGATTAAGCCGCGGGCGATTCTTGTTTGTCGAAATTCCCATGGAACACGATGAAGTAAAGGTTGGGGAAGACTTGGGAATGGTTACAATGCTTAGTGAAGTTCGGGACAGTCTATACAAGTTTGGTAAAATCTGAGCCTGTTTGGTAATGCTGGGTTGTTGTTTGTATTTGCTATCGCTAGCTATTGGCGCAATCATGTATATAAGCCGAGCCACGTCTTACGATCATTGCCATTTTTGAACTTAATTAATAGAATTAGAATAAGGAGGGAACCGAGGAATTGTAGAGTGAAACATATATCATCATAAATGTCCATCAAGTCGTGGCATGAAACATCGTAGGTCCAGGAATCGCATAGCCTTTTATACACATAAGCACCATCCCCTCCATCACCCCTGGCCCCATACCAGCTACTGTTATATAGGATATCTGCCATCGCCAAAGTAGAAATTTCTTCACAGGCAGGTCACCAACGCAAAATAATTTACCTATAACAAAGATCTCAAGTACCTCGTACAGGGAGAATCCCCATCTACGTATATCTCTGCTAACCGATCTAATATTTCAAGGTATTCAACTCACGTATCCTTCATTTCCCCAATCTACACAATCTCGACAGTATCACCGATCTTTCAGTTGTAACTGGCATTCTGATACCCGGGTACCGTACTTCATGTTGTTATGAGCGGTATTCCGGGAGCACTGCGTATTTTTACAATGGGAACGACAGTTAATTGATGGGGGGGCATCTCTAAAAAAGAGTGAGACAAGTCTCCTAGTTATCCACATTCCCAAAGACAAAAAACCATCCTTCCGCAAACTTCCGCAAACTTCTAACACCCAACTATTCCTCCGTACGCTCACCCGTAATCCCTTGTCCGTCCAAACACTCCCATACCTCTATTCCGTAACACCTATACCTAAAGCCTATTTCCCATTCCCTAAATGCTATCACCATCTCCTATGACCGTCTCCTATCATCGCTGCATATCTCCATCACTGAAGTCGCTCCGTTGTGAAGTTGTTTCCCCAAGTGAGATTCATCAATTCACGAGTGATCATCGGTGACCCTAGATCCCGACATTTCACGACAGTGAAAACTAGGCTATCATGGTAAATCGCGCGGTTTGTGATATTCTGCATGTTGACGAACATGACAATCCTGCCGTACCAGGCCGAAGTCTTACCCACGCTATCACCGAGATCGCATTTCTTGCTCCCCCACTGCTTCCATCAGCAGAGTTGTCATCTCTGTTGACACGGCTTCGGACTTTCCTCCGGATAGGAAACGCTCCCCCACGCTGGGCCATAGGGAAGCAAGGCTTATTGGACTATTGTTGGAGTATTATATTCCATGAGGTCCAGGTGCGGGTGAAAAATGGTCTGGTGTGGTGTCTGCATGGGAATTGGGAAATTTGGAAATGTGCGGTTTTCACAAGCTTCACACCAAACCAGGAAATAACGCCGGTGACAAAGGCAATCATGAGGTGTCGAATCCGGTACATGAAGACGTTTCCGGAAAATACAGGCATAGTGCGAGGAGAAGGTGGAAAATGGCCACGAGCCATGATGTCGGCAGCATGCAAGTGCTGGAATCAGAGCTATGGCATCACATATCATCAAGTCTCAAAATAGGTTATTGGGTTCATGTTCTATACCTAATTAAAATTTTGGTTGGATTGTGTTGGGTCACAAATTTTGACATTTGGGTGGAGTGGGTTTGTGTGTTGCAAATCACCGGCGATGACTCGTTCACTTTGGTGGGCTTATCTTTATCGGGAATTGGATAAAATGCGCTAAGACATAGGGTATAGGATATAGGAGCTATGAGGTGATAGGATTTAAGTTGTTCCGAGGATAGGATTTATGATTTTTGGGAAATTGTGTTCCTCAATATTTGGGCATGTCACGGAACACTGCGGATTGTTTTGGAAAATTATGGGAACTCTGCATGAGTTTCAGGCATGTTTGTTATTTCTTTGTTTTGTAGTATTCATTAGTTATGCTAGAATTGTGTCTCTTAGTATGTAGGTTCCCCACACTTGTTTTTGAGGAATCAGTGAGTTAATAAACAACTTCTTTGTTTTCTACAAAGAGTCTTTCTTATCAATATCTACTGCACATAATTTTATTATGAGGTTATTAGACTGCCTGGGTAAACCAACCAACCCTGAAAGAATACTTGATGTGTAGAGTTTGTGACTTAATGTTTACTACCTATGCTGGACTTCTACCTCTTTTTATTTTGATAGTGTGTTAGCATGATACCTCAATCTATTTTATAAAGTTGCTGCATTCACTCTTCCCTATTTCCACTAACTGCCAAGTTGAAAAATTAAACTAAATAGCACTGTTTTGTATTTGAATGATTGAGGTACAAAATTTCATTACCTCTTACTTGGATTTGACCTGCTCTAAAGAAATGAAATCATACTACTAGAATACTCTACCTTCATTACTCTATCTAATTGGCCTATGCTTATTTATTCAGCTAATAATTGTATTAGAAGGTGATGACCTGTCACAACAATCACTACTCCTATATTTGATCTGTTGTAATATGTTGTCAGAATTTAGTCAAATATGATGTACTATTAATATCTTAATCCTATACTAAAGTCCTGAAGGGAAGACTGATCAGTTAGTTCATTTTTGGATAGTTGAGTGTTCAGCCTAGTCTGGATGAAGCCTATTGGAGAATCTGATTGAGCTGATAGATCAGTTATCATAAGGATCAGCTAGATTATAACAAGAGCAGATTGAATTATGCAATAAAGTAGTACTTTATGGTACTAAAGTAGGCAATTGAACATACAGAATATCTGGCAATTTTAAAAAATTGATTCATCAATGAGTAGAAACATTTTGCAAAACTGAGTAAAAATATAGGATATGTACTGGTATGATGTAGGTGGCTGGGAGACTAATTTACAGCATTATTTTACATGTTTTCACCCATTTCTAGGTCAGCAAACCATGTCAAACATAATTCTACATGCTAAAAATGAACATAAATGATACCTTATTGAGCTAGAGTTGATACTAAGAAAGCTCTGTTTGGACCAGTCTAGATTAATCTAGGCAAGTCAGTCTCCAACCCCTGGACAAGACCTGACAAAGACCAGACTAGCTAAACTCAACTGTTCCTGGCTAGACCATTCGGAACCCTGACTAGAATAAGGTGATTCACAATCATGCCATGAATTCATAATGCCGTTGTTGAAAATAGCATAAACCTAGATGTTTTCTTTATGAAATTTGAAAAAATAGTCTTTACCAGTGATCACAGTGCCATTTTTATGATTTTCTCTGTGATTACAACAGCAATTGCACATGGTAGCTTTATTATAGAGAGGGCACTGAGGTTATCATTTGACAGTCAGGGTTCTTGGTTAAATCTTGTCCCCATTATTCAAATCATCTTCAAGTGATCTATGTATTAATCAAAATTGAGATTGTGGAAACAACACTGGGAGAAGGATGGTAATAAAAATTCCTTCTTTCACTTAATACAAGTATTTGCCCATGTATTGCTACACTGGTTTTGTAATACTGAATAATGTTGAATTAATGTTACAAATACATATCACTTCTCATTTCACCCATACAGGTCCTTCAAGTTGCTTATAATATAACTGGATAGTGTTTTAAAATAAACTATAAGACCTCAGAAAAGACAACATTCTTTGTAACACCAACTTGTGCATCATCCCTTGTTAATACCTTAATATTGTGAGAATTAGAGGCCCATAACAATGCTACATATAGTTGACCATGAGTGAAAATATCATTTTCTAAAGAAATTCAAACAACTGCCAATCACTGACCTTGGCTTTTATAGATTGTCATGGCAAATGCTAGCTGAACAGGAAACTGCCTTCTGTTAAGCTGAAATCTAAGATCACTGTCTGGATTACTTGTAATTTGAATACATAGTAGATAGGCTTTTTGTCCTTTGTATGTACCTGTAAGAATTATTCTGCCAATCAAATTCCTTCCCAAGTGTGTAATTTGGAGTCTGGTCCCATTGCAGAGACCATGGAGAGGACTCAGGTTTCTTAATAGTATAATAGTAGCTCCAATTTTGAGTAAAGGTCGATGATATGGCATTCCAGATAGTATGAGAGAGTTTAGATACTCACTGGAATAGAGTTTGGCTGCTCCCTCTGTAACTGTATCAGCACTGAAGTATTTTGTAGATTCTCCAGGTAGTAGATCCAAAAACCTATCATTAATATCAACCACAACAATATTCTGTGGTACTAGAATGGCCCTTTCAGCAAGATATTCAGGAGTTGGCACTCCTTCAATAAGTCCTTCATACACACTGGCAATAAGCTCCTCTATTTTATTGTTTGGAACCTGTAATGCCTTAGGTAACTGAATTTGAGCAATAGCACATTCTTCAAACTACTTTTCTCTAACAGCTAGAATAAATTGGGCATACTCAGCAGTATTCTTCTAGTGCTCCAGTGTCATATTGCCTCTCAACAGATGACAGTTATCCTTAAGTTGAAGGCCAATAATTGAGGGCCAGAGATATGACCTTTTGAGACATGAGGCAACAATCTGTGCACGTGACCCTCAAGGTACTACAGGTAAGCACTGCCTGAAATCTCCTGCAAACAGTATAGTTAGGCTACCAAATGCCTGAAAGGGGGAGTTCCAAATATTCTGTAAAGTTCTGTCAACTGCCTCAAATGCATAGTGGTGTTATATTGGTGCTTCATCCCAGATAAGTATCTTTGCTTGCTGAATTTGATGTACCAATTGTGAATTTTTCAGGATGTTACAATAGGAATCCTTATCAATGCTTATAGGAATTTTTAAAGTTGAATGAGCAGTTTTCCCTGAATTCAATAGAGTTGCTGCAATGCCACCTGATGCAACTGCTATTGCAATATGTCCTTCTGCATGAAAAGCACTCAATAGAAGGTTTTTAATAAAGGTTTTCCCTGTTCCTCCAGGTCCATCTAAGAAAAATAGTGTTGGACTATTCAAGGTTATACACCCTATTACTGTATCAACAGCATTTCATTGAAGTGTATTACATTTCAGAAGATCTATATTGTACTGGAGTTGCTTTCTTGGCGTGTACGACTAAAACATCCAAGTCACAATACAATAAAATACTACAACAAACCAAGATAGAATGAGCCACACTCCAATCCAAAAAAGAATGCATATAATGGAAAAAATAAATAATATACAGTAAAAACATGAATGTAGAATTGTATAATAAAAATAAAGAAAATGTTAAAAAGAAACTAGAAAAATATACATAAATTAAAAGATCTGGATTTTGAGGTAATAATTCATAACCAACTCCTATACTTATGTAAGCAATGCCAAAGTTGCAAGAACCATTGCACACATTCTGCCAGTAAAAACAAGTAAAAGAGATGATATAGCATACACCTTTACAACTACACAATATAAAGTATTATTATAATATTATTATTCCTTACATTATATTCAGACAAAATATACAGTATTTCATACTATATTACATTATATTTATCACATTTGGTAAGAACTTATATTTCCATTTAGTATAAGTAGTGAGCATATAGTTGTGTAACTAATAAGGTCACATAGCACAATGTCAAACCAATAATGCAGTAGGTGTAAACAGCATAAGAGCCCATCAGAATTTGATATAAAATATATAGAGACTGTTTAGTAAGTTTTAATATCCTTTCACACAATATAACAAGTATTATGATGTATATAAAGTTACTAATAGGGCAAAGGCCAAACATCTGATACCCTGGAGAAGGGGACCAATACAGAGACTACAGAAGATAGATATTAAGAGAGAGAATGAATCAGTTATAGAGGTATGTCAAGTAAAGTAATACTTAAAATTAAATGAGCTAATATGAAATAGAATGCAAATATAGAAACTTACATACTATTATTACCAATATGGAAATACATATTTGAACCAACAATACTACTTACATTTATCATGAAGTGAGCAAGGTAGAAAGCATTGAATTTAGGACAAATGAACATGCTTTGTGATTTTTGTAATGTAAAACATTGGTTCAATAAGCTCACATCAAGAAGTACAACAATATAGTCAATTTTCAAACAATGTTATAAGAAAGGTACAGTTCAGTTGCCACTCCTATTGCCTCCACCAGAGCTACTCCAATCATTGATGAAAATCTAAGACTGTATAAGTCGAGTATTTTGCAATAAAATTCAAGGATATAACTCTGCACTTTCTTTTACTTTGAGTAAATATCAAGCAGATATATGTATAGTAACCTGGGAACCAGGAGTTCAATGCTTTCAGATTCATAGTGAGCTATATTATTTACAGAGTTTACTAGAACCTGTACTACATGGTATATCTCAATTTGCATAACTATTCCTGTATAATCCACAATATGCTATTATTATATGGTTTATATCTTTTTTAGATTTAGATTTACACCTTCTTGAACAACTTACACTCATATTGGATGAGTGCAATCTATTTATTTGCATATATCAAACAGCAAAGGAAAGATTAGATACTGCAAATATTAATGCTGCTGATAGGATAACATGAATAGTATTAAACTCACAACTACAACTAATTGTTGAATCAGGAGCAGATAAGTGAAGATACAACTTGCCAACTGGTAATGAGGTGGCTATAATTATTAGAAATGAATATACAGAGAGTGGATTTTGTGACATTATTTTAGCATCAAGAAGTAATGATAATAGACTACATTTTTCTATAATAAATGGGAATCATACTTCATATATGCCTTTGTACTATATGTTATTCTTTTCAAGAGGTGAATCTGGTTATCATTGGGTACTACAATTGCAGGATAATTTTACAGTCAAAGAGGATCCTTTTTATTTTCTTACCAGTCTGTATTGATTTCTTAGCTTTATTAAGGGTTAGGTTTTATTTTATTTTTACACTCTACAGCTACTTGCATGGCGAGTACACAGCTGAGGGCAGGGTGAGTGCACAGCTGAGGGTACAGCAAGTGCAGTATGAGTGCACAGCTACGCACACTGCGGGGTGCACAGTTAATCACACAATAAACCAAGCTCAACGCATGACCAGCCACCCTCGAGTTCTCACATGCCTTTTGCTAGTTTCTCTGAGCCTCACTTCTTAGTATTGCTGGATCTTGTACACCTTCAACATTCTGACCTTCAATATTGAAAAGGTTAGGTCCATTTACCAACTGAAACTGGTAGGTTAGTTCTAGAATTCAAAAGTCTCTGAGTAACATGCCACTTTGTTGTATAATTTCCTCAAGCATACTGAGGCCAAGTAATAGCTTTTGGTTTTCTGATGGTTCTGCAATACCATATTAGTGTATTAACTGATGAAGACAATCATCTGTAAGAGAGACCTTAAACATTTCCCATAACTCCCTCAGTTCTGCAGGATTGCACTCAGTCAGGATAACTCCAAATAGTAGGTGTAGTTGAAATCCAGTCAACATCAAAGATCTATTCTGAAGGACCTCCTTCCTCTCATCATCATTTACTAGCAATCCTTTTGCATTACAGGCCTCACAGAATGTTGAATAAAGTATGCCATTCACTGTTTTCAAAGAGTCAAAGCTGGTTGCACCCTTTGTATGCAGTAGTAGAAGTCTTTCAAAGAATCTTTCTCATGACTTCGGACCACAAAAATACATTTAACCAATCGATACACCTTGCTTGCCAGGAGTCTATTCCCATTCCTTCTGTTTGAAGACAAATTATGTTGGAAAGTCCTGATATCATAATTCTCATGCAAGTAGATTCTTGGCATTAGCCTTGAAATAGGCTGTCAAGGTAGTGTCTCTGCTGCTTACTTAATCAACAATATTCTGCAGATTATCATTGGCATGAAAGTAAACAGATTGCTGTTCTGGCAAATGTAGTTGAAGGCATTGAATAGCAGGACTTCCATCATGTATCTTGTTTCCAAGTAGTCACCAGGTCACTTCTGATGCAGAAATATAATGTGCATCAAGATACACCTTGACCTCATCAATGTGGGAAGGATCATCAAGAAGGATATTGGCATGGTCAGGCCCCTTATAAACATATTTGTATAGGTACTTAACTGCCTGAATTGAGGAACAAACTTCAACATTAATGTGACAGTTGTAGCATTTTGTAAGAAAAGGATTATATGGAATAATTCAACAATTGTCATAACAAAACCTGGATGTTGTTCCATTTAGCTGAATTCCATTTTTGTCAACATATCTTTCATCTACCATACATGGAGCATTACTGTTATCTATACCACATGGTCCATGAAGCATATAGGTTGTAACCATCTCCCACACCTAAAGGTCAGCTTCCTTATCAGGAATCTCTGCAGATACCATTTTATCAATTTGTTCAACAGTATGTATAGTATCGGCTGCATGCAACATCATTAAGATATGTGCATGGGGTAGTCCTCTTTTCTGAAACTCAATAACATAGATATAAGCCTTTACTCTTCCCAGTACTCCTTTCTCAATAAGGTTCTTCATTATACTTGACAGCTTTAATTGAAAAACTCTGGCTACCAAATCAGGACAATCAGTAACTTGCTGTCCATGAAGTAGGTTTTGCTGAATTTCTGGCCATGCAGGATTGCATGTCATTGTAATAAAGAAATCAGGCTTGTCAAAGGCTCGCACAATTGCCATTGCATCTTGATATAATTCCATCATCTGTCTTGGTGACCCTGTAAAGCTAGATAGAAGAATCAACTGCTTTCCTAAACTTGCCAGATCCATGTCTCCTTGATTGGCTAAGGTGTCTGCAAGGCCTTGGTATCGGTCACTTCAAAGGGCCTTTTGATTGGAGAATACCCATTGCAAATTATTTTGCTCAGTAGCAGTAAATGCGTCAACACACCACTCTTGAAAAAGCCTTCCTGATAGAAAAAGATATGATAGAACAGGCATGCATACATGTAGATAATAGGCATGAAAAAGAGCCAGTATAACTTGTTTTTGACCCTCCATGCCCTGTTGTCAGGTTTACTACCTGAAAGGCAATCTGTTCCTCTGCCTGTAAAAGCTGGTCCTCATCAACATTATGCTCATCACGTACTGCATTACCTGCCAGCTCATTTCCTGCAAGTGGGATATTCGAATGCTATTCTTGCTCTCCCTGAAGCAAGATAAGTGGATATTGTAGGGGAAGATATGATGCATGTAATTCTGATATCCTCTTTAAAGGTTCATCTTGGTGTTCAGCACCCTTGTAATGAAGGATGATTTCCCATGGCGGCACATTCTCTTCACCCATTTCTTCAATCAAAACTCCAATCTCATTTACTGCTGGAGTATTATAAGTATATAGATCCTTGCCATGCTCTCTTGAATCTTGTATTTGCAGGCACAGGGTTTGAACAATTACTAGATTTCATGTAATCAAGTCACCAATAGAGTGAAACAACTGGACTTATGGATTGGACTGCGAGAGTGCATATTAGATTTGAGCAACAATTGTAGTACCTAGATTACCGAGAACTTGAAGGCGATTTTGCATCTGAGTATCATAGTTGCTCGAGTTGTGAGTATATATTTGGGCAAACTTTGGTGTCTCTAGGATTGGGAAGTAGAGATCCAATCTGGTAGTATAAAGCTCCTTTAATTTGAAAAGAATAAACTCCTATCCTTTGTGCACCCAATATTCTCTCATCAACTCCCAGAGAGGTAAAGGTAAAGATATTCCTATAACAATGAATTTTTAGACAAAACTCCTTAGCCACTAATATTCTCATATCATCAGTTATTATTCTAAATTATGTTAAAATAAATGAGATTCAATTATGAAAACCTACTTGCAGATTAAGAAGTAAACAATTCTAACAACTGGGGAGCTGGTTGCTGAATGTTCAATAAGGTTACCTTCCCATTTGCAGAACTTTTGGAAAATATAAAGGCTCCAAATTAGGAACAGGAACTCTTTTCTTCAAGAAAATGTAGTGCAGAACAGTGATTACATTCATGATTCAACAAAGAGAGTATATGGCAGGTGGTTGTACTGGCAGAAGACAGAACTGACTGATAACCAATTGCTTCTGCTATTCCGGAGGCCTAGTCAATTATTAGAATAAGACTCTTAGAACAGTAATATAAGAGAAAGATAATACAATACAATACTTACTATAATTAGATTATTAGGCATATTGAGTTGAGGTGCTACTGTACATTGATCTCTAAGTTGAGATTCTCTTCTTGATGCAT